TCTAGTAAATATTCATTTGATAATAATAATCAAGTAACCGAATATTTGAATCAAATAAATTTTTTTTCAGTGGAGGAAAAATGGAAAAATTTTCAAATAAATATTTACTTGAACCAAATAATTTTTAATTGAATTAAATTATATTTGGACCAATAATTTCTGTATTTGAAACAAATACTATTTAATTGACTAAAATAAAAATTATTTCGTTCTAGTAAATATTTATTTGATAATAATAAAGTAACCGAATATTTGAATCAAATAAATTTTTTTCAATGGAGGAAAAATGATTTTTTTTGAAAAAGAAACATTTTTCTTTTTTCAATATTGTTTCAATAAAAAAAAAAATTATTTGTATAATTCGAATTCTCATATAATCTGTCATGGAAGTCAAAGGGAAAGTTCACGGAGTCGGGTTGAATGACACTTTATAGCTATACAGAAACTTTTTAGTGATCATTCGAAATGCAATGTAAACGTTTCGATTCAATGCTTGATTAGCTTTTCTTGTCAATGACTCGTCGAGTTTCTTTTTCCACTAATTATTACATTCTCGCCGCTTTAAATTTTCTATAAAATTTTATTTTTCCTATATTATAAAAATTCAACAAAAAAAAAATTCCAATTTTGTTGAAAATATAATATTTTATTGAATTTAGCCAAGAATAACTTTTTTGAAGAATCAGATAAAACTTTATGCAAAGAGAGAAAGAGAGAGAATAAGATCGATCGTCTTTGTAAAGTGATGATAAGCGATGAAAAAAAATAGTATATATATATATCTGTATGTGATTTCGAGTCACGTTACAGTTTGGAATTCCCGTTACATTTTCGTTGAAGCTGAAAAATAGGGAGGTGCGTGGTTTGCTGGGAACCATTTGCAATATGGCCGCGCGATGCTTAAATTATTGCGCAAAAGCAAGAAAATCTCTTGTTTCCACCCTTAAATGTTAATCATTGGCTGATACGAGGGAAGCTTTTGAGACGCCCACATAATAAAAGCTCAGACATGCGCGAAAACGAAAAAAGAGGTTGAGAGAGAGAGAGAGAGAGAGAAATAAATATAAAAAAAAGAGAGAGAGAGAGAGAGATTCGTATTTTTTTTTATCTCTCCGACATTTTTCATATAAAAAAAAAAAAACGAATATGTACGTCACTGTCGTTGAGATTAGGCAGATGAAAAATTGATTTTAAAATACTGAACTACCAATAAACCTGACAGTCAAATTGTCCATGACACACGTGATTTAGAAAATTTGTACACTTTCATAAAAATATATTTCAGCTGTTTAATATTGTCTCCGGCACTTTATATTTCTATTAATATTACTATTATTATTATTACTATTATTATTATTATTACTATTATTATTATTATTACTACTATTATTATTACTATTATTATTGTTATTATTATTCTAATTATTATTTAAAAATAATTGTTTTAAATATTCAATTATTTTTTCTTGTCTTTATTTTTTTTAACCTTTTTTTCTAATTGTTTATAATCATACTTTTGTTTATAATAAAAATAGAAAAATTTGTATTAAAACGTGAACATGACCTGCGCAGCATTTTTATCATACGTCACTAAAATAATTATAACATATTGGTATAATCACTGCGCCTACCCTACATCTTCCTTATATAAATAGTTTACTTCCAAGGTTCATTAATCCAAGGCAAATTATAAAAAGAAAAAAAAAACTGAATCTTTTAATTAAAAATTTACGTAGGAAAAAGAAATTTTATTCAAATAATTTTGGTCTATTATCAAATAAATATTTATTATAAATAATTTATTATTAAATAATTATTATTACCCAATAATTAAATATTAAATAATTATTATTACCCAATAATTAATATTAAATAATTATTATTACCCAATAATTAAATATTAAGTAATTATTATTCGAGATAATATATTTCAATTTGTTTTAAGAAAATTATATTGGTCCAAATACAATTTATTTAAAATAAATAAAAATTATTTGGTTCTAAATATATATATTTGAATGAAATTTCTTTTTTTCAGAATTAAAAAAACAATTTTTAACATTAAATAAATTTAATAATAATAAAATAATTGATTTATTTTTAATGACAACTTTCAATTCACGTGATAATAAATTAAAATTCTATATATAGATCAATGGACTTTGAAAAGTGTGCATGTATTTTTCTTTTTATTTCTAATTCGCGGTCGATTGATTCATTTGACAAGTAATTGGCGGATGGAAGGAAAGTATATAAGTATATCGAAAAAAGGAAACAAAATAGTTTCAAATTAAAAAAAAATCAAATGTTTCGAAAAGAACAAAAACATTTTTTTTTTAGACGAAAATAAATAAAATTTAATCTTCACAAAAAAAAACGCTAAAATTATTGTCAATATATGAGCCTCAAGAATAAATCGAATTCCTTGAAAAAAAAAAATATCTAAACTATACATAAAGCAGTCGTCGTATATATATGATGAAAATACAACGAATGACTGTAATCGAGAATGTAAAGACAAGTCATTCCTATAAACTAGTCAATAAAATAGTATTGTTCGTAGTATAGGCATGCGGCACGTGCTCCTGGCAAAATCCATGGCAGCATATATATATATATATATTGTAAAATTGTATATACGTAAACTCACATTCACCGGGACTTTCACTGTTAACTGAGAGAAAAATAAAAAAAAAAAATGATGGAATTGTCGACACTAGCGCACAAATATTGCGCCATTCTCTCCGCAGAAACCTAGCAAAACTTCTATATGTATATATACACTCTACTCTATACAAGCAAAATGCAGGTGATTTCGCCTGCTCGAAGAAAACCAATTTTCTTTCTTCTCCTTATGACTATTACTTCTCAGACTATTTAATGAATCATTAAATTATAGTTTTTCCAAGCAAAAAAATTAAATATTAAAAATAAATCCACAAGAAAGTCGTTAAAAAAAATACAATGCTTTTAAAAATTAATAATATTCACTGTGTCAAGAGCAAGTTACTTTTAAACGTAATTAGAATTTTAAATTTAAAAAAAAAATTCCAATGTTTATTTTTAAATATTTTTTTCTAAGTAATTTTCAAATTTAATTTAATTATTTATTAATTATTATTTATTATTTATTATAATTTCTATTTTCCTTTTCATTGCAAAAATGTTAATAATTAAAATTCTTCTCTACAAGAACTAAATATATATATATAATATATACAATGTATGAACTTTCTAATTCAGATTGTAGCAAAAAATACAGCAGCGAATTTCTCGATAAGTAAAATAAGAATAATTTAGGAAAAAAAAGAAATAGCATTTTTTTTTTTTTTTAGGGCCATGACCGTGATAGGTTCCTTCGAGGTCAGTTCTCTTCGTATAAGCACGCACGCAGTTGCGAGAGAGATACCAGAAATCGAGGTCGGGTCTTCGCGAGATTCGCGCTTCTTATATTTCACTTAACGGATTTCACAAACTCTCATCCAAAATAAAAATTGTCTCATAAATATTTCATCAAGTGCAAAAAAAAATCTCGGAAGAGAAAAAAATTTCAATTTCGAAATAATGGAAATTTTTTCCAAATATTTTTAATTTGGAAAAAATTAAATTTGAAAAGAAATAAAAACAAAAAAAAATTAAATTTTCCAAAAAAAAATTCCTTTTTTTTGAAATTTAAAAAGGTCATACAAATTCTGGTCTCAATCAGTCAGCTTTCTTCACGTACAGCGTGAGAAAGGTCACTCTAAGTCGTTCAATTGGTAATAACTCCAACCTCCCTTTTCCCATAAATGCGATCCGAAAACTCGTCGAGTGAGTTGAAAATGCCTATATAACATGTCTTTCTCTCTCTTACACATATACACACACTCACACTCGACTAAAAGTTGCAAAGTAAAATGCGAAATGTACAAAGTGCAACATGAAAGGTGCATTTCGATTCACCTGACAGGGATTATATTCTGTGAGGAGTGAAACGAAAAAAAAAAGAACGGTTCGATAAGGTCAATGGACGAGAACTTCTTCGTCACCCGCATGTATTCAGGTGTAAAAGAGACAACTCCTTCCTATTGTCAAACAAAATCACAAGAATACAAGAATATCGAGCAGAAAGCAAAATTTCAATGACGTGTTTATGACACTTTGAAAAAAAAATTCCTCACATTTGTCCTTGAAATAACAATTTAAATCTCTTTCTCGCTAAATAAATAATTAACAAGAATTATCTTTTATAAGGAACTTGTATTTTAAAATAAATAATAAACGTATATAATAAATTCCAATACTTAATCATAAATGGAAAAATAAATACGTATTTTATCAATTTATTTCATTTAAAACTTAAAAAAAAAATTGACCTAACCGTTTTTAATTTAATGAGTAAATAATATTGATTTATTAGAAAATTAATTTATCATTTAAATATAGTCGATCACCTTCAATTTAAATATAGTCATTTGGAAATATTACTATTACCTATTCTGCGAATAGAAAACTATCAAATGAATTTTTTCATAATTTAGAAATCATCTGTTGAGACCACAGAATGAAAATATTGATATAGGGCATTTAAAAATGGTGGCTACTTGCCCCTTCCCCTGTCCTGAATTCGCAATAAAACCAAGTGACAAATAATACTTGCACGAATTATAAAAAAAAAAAAAATTCCATTAAAATATTCTTTACACGACACTAGGGAATAATTTTACAATTTGGGTCTTTGGAATTTATAAAACAACAGGAGATACGGTCGGCCGCATTACTCCCTCACGTGGTTGTCAAGCTCATATTATTGAAGACTATTTAGTTATATATTCAACAAAGCAACTCAGTTGAAAATCAAACTAACAATAAAAAATACTATATAATGCAGAAATACTACTAATAGTATACAAATAATAAACCCCACTTGTATTACAAATACAAACATCGGGGATTTTAACGATAGAACAAGGAACGATTAAATTCTTTAGGAATTTCAACAAAAATGTCAAATTACTCACCGAGAATTGCCTGGAGGGTTTGCTCGTCCCCATCACTGATGACATCCATACCTCCGCGGATCGGACCCCAGCTTTCTTCCGGGCCTGATTAACAGGCCCCATTTTGTCTTCGTGCGACGTCTATCGTTGCGTCCCACATCTTACACAAGAAAAACATTCTCCAAAGAATTTTCTACCGCAATTTTTTCACACTTGTCACAACAATTTTTTCACTTGTCGATGATTTTTGTAACACACTGAATCTTAAGAGTACACGTACGAATAAAACACAGGAGAAATCATGATCCAAGTTTAATTTTCAATTATTAATTAAGTTTTATCACTTTGCTTTGAGCACACACGTTCTACCGACACTAAAACACCACTATACGACGACCTGGAACTCGCGACTCGACCGGAGCCGACACTTGTGCGTCTATCGAGAGAGGTCACGTGACCACAAGAGAGTTATTTGGATGGTCACGCGCCCCTTTTTCATATGCGTGTCTTTTAACGTAATAGAAAATGAGGATTTCACACACGACGATGAATATTCATTTGCCGATAAACACCAAAAAGGTTATCAGAAAATTTCAAAAAAACACACACACACATGAGAAACAAACAGATTCCTCTTTAATCGGCCCTCCAGGGGTTACTGAAGTGAACTCACGGAAACTATCGATATTCTCGATACTTTTCACTATTCAACCGCCAGGTAGCGCTAGTGTATAGTTTCGATACTTTTGGCGCTAAAATTCAAAATTATATTATTTATAAAAACAAATTAATTAATTACTTTTAAATAGTGAATTATTGAAAAAATAAATAATATTATTGAAAATTAATAAAATTCAACTTAATTCTGGAGATAGTTTTTTAAAAATTTAAATTAAAGCGCCTCTAGCGATCTAAAATAGAATTATACACATGTGACGTAAATCCTAACCTTAAAAGCAAAACATATTTTTGTAAATAAAAAAATAAATAAATAAATGTCACCTTAAAGATTAATTTAAAAATAAAATTACCGAATTTTAAGAATTCTAATTTAAAAAATGAGTGTTAAAGATTTTTACGAAATTCTTGGATGTTCCGAAGAAGCAACACACGAGGATTTAAAAAGTGCTTTTCATAAATTAATTTTAAAATCTCACCCAGATAAAGTACAGGACTCAAATAAAGATGCTGTGGAATTTCACCAAATTCAAGAGGCTTGGAACGTTCTCAGTAAACCTGAAAGCAGAAAACTTTATGATGTTGAACGTAAACAAACAAAATTAGAAGAAGAAAGTATTGTTGTCCTTGCAAGGATTACTTCCGACGAACTTTATCCCAAGAATGAAGAATTAGCATATCAATGTCGTTGTGGCAGTGAATATATCGTTGACAAAGAGGATTTGCAAAATTATGAACAATTTTATGTTGCCTGTGACGAATGCACATTTTATATTTCTGTCAAAGTCAACAAAAATTCATTAAATCATTCCTCTTCTGATTCATTTGGAACATAATTTTTGTAAACTGTAAAAAATCAAACATAATAAAAGAAAAAATTAATTTACTTAATTTCGTGTAAAAAAAAAAAAGTTATCCATCCTAGTACTCTAAATTTTAATTAATCACTTTCTGGGATTAATATTAACTCGATTTATTTTCTATAAAAAAGTTTATTCGTTTTTTTTTTTTTTTTTTTTTTTTAACGTATTCGCCTGAATAATTGCATAAGAAATAAATGCAAGTGCAAAATGCAGCAACATTTTCTATTTCTTATAAAAAATGATACAACAGATAACACATTATTATAATTATAAACTATTGAGCAATATACAAATAAAACACGGTCCACCTCCATGTGTCCTTAATCCAGTAATAAAAGAAGCGTTCGCACGAATTGCATTTCCAAAAAATTCATATAAATAAATAAATTTATCCAGTAAACGATAAATTGCTCTTTTTTTTTTGGAGAATTTTCATTACAATTCTTTAATAAATTTTCCATAATAATGTAGTCAAATGGCAATTCGTGACAGTATTGCACAAAAATAATTAAAATTTCGCAACTTTCATTACTGAATCATGGCGAAACCAGACTTATTTTTTTTTTTTACAGATGTTAAATCGTTGACCTTCACTATTTTTTTTTAATGCAAAAAACCCTTTTTTTTTGTGATAAATAAATCAATCACTGATATTGACTCAAAAGGTTAGAGCAGTTTTTGCATTATTTTTCATTGTTACATATACAAAATCATTTTCATTTGCATTCGATTCCTAATTGTTACGATATGAGTTTATATAAATAAAGAGGCAAATGATTTTTAATCCCATGTCACACCTGCAGACTAAAAAAAAAAAAAACAAAAACAAAAAACAGACATATTAATAGTAAATTCACCGTAGTGAAAAACAGACTTTTTTTGTTTTTCAGGCGATACAACAGTCTTAATTTGTTTAAAATATATATTTATCAAGATGGAAGAGTAGCCTGATTTTTTATTTTGACACCATTGACTGTCTTGTAAAAGAAAAATTAAAAAATAATTGTCCTTTCATTCGAATTATTTAAAATTCTATTTTAAAAAAAAAAAATTATTCTAAAAATAAGCCAATCATGAGATTTTTTTTTTAAATTAAAAAATGGATGATTCATTCATTCAGTTTTTTTCCACATTATATATAATTTTATATATATATATACTCAGAAAGCACTTATTAAATAAAAAATATAACAATTTTCATCGTAAAACGATGACGAACAGTTAAATTGTTAATAAATATTAACTAGATTCAATCAAAATGGTAAAGTGTAACTATTCCACACGTGTGACATGTTATCTTAAACGTAATTGTTACACTCCATTTTAATATCATTTCGTCTACCTTAGCATTTCCATGAATACTATTTTTTTTTTTTATCTTTTGAAAAACAAAATATTATCAAATTTTCTATATTATATTGTGAAGGCAGTTCTTACAAGTTTTTTTTGTCGAGAAAATCTAATATTCGATTCTATTTTGTTAAAGAAAAAGAATTTTTTGTTTTTAATGGTTTATGCAGGTAGTAACATTTTTTTTTTTCTAATTTGAGATAAATTAACTAATATACATTATGCGAAATGTAATTACTGTGTATTTTCTGAAAAAAAAAAAAACTCGAAAAATTGATTTTTTTTTTCTATTAACAAAGAATAATTTGTTGTCAAACCGCGAACTGACATATATTGACATAAATATTAATTTTTTAACTAAACGTAACAGCCGAATGAACAATTTTGGACGAATTAATGCCCTGTCCAATGTGTCAGTATAATTTTTTTTTTTTTTTACTATATAGAAACTTTGTTCTATTTTTAAATATACTTAAATAATTAATTTCTAAATAAAAAATATTTATTTTGAAATGTCGAAATAAATTTATAACTACTAATATCTCTTTTCCTATTGAGAAGAAATTGGACACAGTCTAATCAAAATTTAATCGAATATAAACAATTACCTTTACCGCATAAACCTTCAACAGAATTACAAAAAGAAAAAAAATTTTTTTTTGATCATAATCGATAACCTTGTAAGTTCCGAACTCCTCATTCGAGTCTTTTAAGTCTCATTTTTTTTTTTTTTTTTTTTTTTTTTTTTTCTGTACACTGCGATAGGTACATCACGGTTTTGTTTATACTTGATCTTTTGTCAGTGTCACAAAAAGACACACAAACGACTATATATATATATAGTTTTTTTTTTTCCAAATGCCGCTTACCTTGCATTTCCGGATATTTTCCATGTGCAGTCTTATCACAATCACACCACTTAATACATGAAAAAACATTGTACAGTAGATTGGTTAAGCTACCTAGTTTTGAAAATTATTTACAACATGTCCTCCTCAGCGAAGAAATTATTTCACTTCAACATCAAAATCAAGAACAAGAAGTTTTGTTTCCTCAGTGCCATTTCGACTGCCAACAGCACACACAAGTTTCGTGTCACTTGCTCGAATTCGCCACACCACACCGCCGCTTCCGCCACTCTCTAATGCTACGAGATTCCTTATAAAATCACCTGGAAAAAATTTAAATTTCTTTTTAATTTCTTTTAAATTACAATTTTGCAAAAATAATATTCAACAAGAGTAAATTTGGTTTAGAGGGGAAAAAAAAGTACCAGTTTTAACATCCCAAAGTTTAACAGTTCCGTCGTCGGAGGACGTTATCACGAAATGACTATTAAACTGGAGACATGTGACTGCTGACTGGTGTTTATTTGGACCGGAAAGCGTTTGTAGGCAATGACCGCTGACAATGTCCCATACTTTGACAGTTGAATCCGCATTACCTGAGACAAGAATATTATGACGTAGTTCCATACCGGAAGTGAGCGATTGATGACCCATTAATGTATGTCTACAAGCGCCAGTCTCAACTTCCCAAACTCGAATGCTCGTATCGAGGGAACCACTCACAACATGAACACCATCAAACTAAAAATTAATTAATAAAAATAATAAATTTTGTTTCTTTTCTTTTTTTTTTAAATGTGCAATATTACCTGAAGCGAGTAAACACGATTGGTATGTCCTTGGAGAGTATGAAGGCACTCTTCTCGTTCTGGATTCCAAACTTTAACCATATAATCGTAAGCACCGCTAACGACTAATTTACCATCGTATTGCACGCATCTAACTGCAGCTAAATGTCCCACCAATACGTGTAAACATTCACCAGTATCAACTTTCCATACTCTTAATGTTGCATCCCTACTGCCGCTGACAACTTTATTCCCATGTAAATGCATACATCTCACCGTCGATGTATGACCATACAATGTATGTATACAACAACCAGAATCAGCGTTCCATACTTTTAATGTTCGATCCGTACTGCCGCTGATTACCGTCGCTCCCGACATTTGTGACGACCATACTCCGCCCGTGTGTCCAACCAACGTTCGCAAACACTGAAAATTTCAATTTTAGAAATTAAAATTTACTAATTTTGAAAAATTGAAATTTTGAATTTGAAATTTTACCTTCCCAGTGATGGCGGACCAGACTTTAAGTGTATTATCATCAGAACCGCTGACTATTCTATTACCAGAAAATTGTAAACAAGTAATGACATGATCATCGTGACCTTTGAGAACTTTTGGTGGACGGATTGGCTTTGTTCGCCAATTCATTTTAATATTATGCTGCCTCATATAGGCTTGTTTCCATGGCGATGAACTATTACCCGATGTACGGCCATTTTTTCGTTTTGACGATGGCGATTCTTTAAGATCATCAATACCAGCCGCACGACATTTTTCCTTCCATAATAAATTATCATCGGCAAGAAAACGCCAACTGCGACATGTTTGCGCTGCACGCAATAAATCACGTGGCTCAAGAAAGGCTAATACAGATAAGGCTAATTCACGTGGCAATAGTGAAATAAAATCCCGTTGAAATTGTGGTTCTATCACTTGCATCATATGACGCACTTGCGTTGGTTCACATCTTTCAATTAATTCATCTATCGCCAACATTCTCTCTGCATTCGACCATCTCTGAAAAATTAAACAATTTTTTTTGTTTTTCATTACAAAAATTCTATTTTAATATTTAAAAAAAAAAAAAAAATACTTGCCTGAAATTGTAAAAGCCAATTACTCATTTCCGGTGGTGGATTATCTTTCGTTGGTATCAAAAATCGTACAGGTTTACCTTTATCATCTAATTTTCGAGCGATTCTATAAGAAAAAACAAAAATTAATTGTAAAATCAAATGAAAATTACTATTAGCAGATTAAAAATATTTACGCTATATGACATTTGTCCTCGGCGCCGAGCTTTTTACAAGGTAAATTAGATTCTATTTCGCTTTTTCGTTTTTTCTGAGGTTGAACAACGTCTAAAGGGACACAGGTGTGTAAAATTGGACTTTGCACTCGTTGTGGTAAAGGGGGTTGTGAACGCAAAATAGGTGATTGACAATCGCTTTCTTCAATTTCTTCATCGCACTCGGCGTCACAAAACAGTCCTGTGTCACTAATCTGAAAATTAAATAAAAATTTAAAAAATCTAAAAACAAAAAAATAACAAAACAAAATAAAAAATTATTTTCTACCTCGCTGTCCTCCTCTGTACTCTCGGCTTCTGCTTCATCCACCTCGTCGCCATAGTCTTCCGATTCACCATCTTGTGGCAGTGAACAATTAATTGGATCTAATGTACTTGGTCCTGGAATACCTTCAACGCCTTCAACAGGACTTGGACTTGTTCCACCAGGTTTCTCTCGTGTTATTCCTTTCAATGACGATTGCGGGACAGACATTACTGACCTAGGAAATTAATTTGTTGTTTTCTGCAATTTCAATTACATTCCATAAAAAATAGAAATTAAAATAAATTGAATCTTTAAATTAAAAATAATATTTCTAGAAAAAAAAAGGATAAAACTGATCAAAAAATCGAATTAACTTTTTCTAATAGAAAACTACATATAATAAAAAAAGAAATTATTTCTATATAAAAAAAAAAAAAAAAATTTGACACTTGTATTACAATAACGAAACAAATAAGCAAGAGAAAATAAATACAATACAAGGAAATAAAAGTATTTTCTTTATATATAAATAAAAGTGCCTCGTGGTTTCTTGATTCTCGAAAATATCCACGTTTTTTTTTTCTTCTTACATACTCACATAAAAATGCAATATGAAGCATATTGAACGTTGAAGCAATTGTATATTCAAAAACCGATTGTTATGATAAACAAAAAAACACAAACTGATGAAAAAAAAAATAGCCTCGGGCTGAGATAAAGAGAACGTGTTCATTATTGAAAAGTTTTGAAAAGAAATAACAAAAATGGTCGAACATTTGCAAAGAAGCAGGTTTTAAGATAAATGCACATAATGTATAAAAAAAAAAAAATTTTAAATTCACTGTAATTATAATCAAAATGTAATCCTAACCTCGATAAATGGAAATATGTTATACATAAATATATTACAGTATAGATATTTTTTTTTTTTGTTCACAAAAAATTAATATATACTCTTTCACACTCTATATACCACTCCTAAACTGTTCATAAATTTGAGGTTTCAATTTTCTCATCGTAGAGGGTAAAAAAAAAAAGAAGAGAAAAGAAAACTTACTTTGGCGGATGATTTCTTTCTTTGCCGTCTCTTTGCGACACACGGCTGATTGGAGGAGAAATTAAATTATTAAAGTCACATGCAGAACGAGGTTAGAACACAGGATAATTTTGTAAAAAGAGCAGTGTGGTTCATAAAATAAAAACATGAGATAAATCCATCCTGCAACACTTGACGACACACACACGCGTTCACAGTTTGACCTTGCAATAAATTTATCCGGATGTGTTGTTTGAAATTAACAAATTTCATTGGTTGGCAATTTAAAGCTCAATTCACAAGTTGGAAAAATTATTCAAAAATGGCGGAAAATAATTTCAGCGGGAATATTTAAATGTTAGTTTAATTGTTAAGGAACAAAATTAATTAATACTTTAATTAATTCAACGAATATTAGGTTTTTAGGTTATAATTTTCGATTAGAATCTCGGAATTAAAAACTTTTTTTCGTTTTAAAATATAAAAATATACTCAATTTATGTATGTGTTTATTTGTTTTATATGATTTGTTGACGTGTGTTAGTGATGCAATTTCTTTCAATTCATTATGGAATGCATAAGAATGTAAACGTCAAAATTTGAAACGGTTTAAACTATTTAAATATTTTCTTATCTTAAATTTGTATAATGTAACTGTATTATTTTGTTATTTTAAATAGATAATAAAAGCAACCGTGACTGAAAAGTAAAGTTACTACAAATCAAAATAGTTAAGCTGATATGTCAATTTTGTGAATGTCAGCAAAAATAATAAAAATTTTATACAATGGCTGACGTGGAAATTCCAATTACTGGAGAAATTCAATCTTCAGATGATAAACAATCGAATTCTAAACGGTAATTATTGTTAAATTAAATTAATAATAACAAAATCATTTTGACATCAGAGAGAATTAGTATATCAGCTGTAACTTGAGCTGTCAAAAGTACATAACCTCAAAATATAAACAAATGTCATTTCGAATATAATTTGATTAAATTTGTCATTAATTGATATTTTAAATCTATTTTATTTTTAAAATATTTTAAATTACAATTACTGGAATTAATTATTTATTTCAATTTATTAATTAAAAGTGGTATTTAAAATTTTATTTTTCCATATGTCAAGTGCAAAATAGAGTACTTGATTGTAAAAGTAAAATAAACTTATTATAATTGAAAAATTATTTTTTATATTTTTAATTTGTTTTTTTTTTCTAGATTTTTGTCGCAACTTGCGCTTCCACCATTGGGACAATTTACTTACCCACAAGCTCAAGAATGGGTTCAACAAAAGAAAGCTAATGTCAAACCATGGGCATTATTTTTAAATAGCAATAATTTTAGACCACCTCCAAGTATTACAAGATTGAGTAAACGAGTATTGAAAAATATAGAATACTTCCAAAGTAATTATTTATTTGTATTCATCATCCTCGTTATTTATGTTCTGTAAGTACATTTCTCTTATTTTTTTTTAGAATTTATATTTTTATTCACAATTCTTTAATTAGCCAGTAATTAAAAAAAAAATAATTCAAATTAACGAAATAAATATTTTAATTTGTATACAATAAATATTTAAATTGTTAAAAGAAATATTTGTATGTATACTAAAATAGATTTTAATATTTATGAAAACTCGAATTGTAATTAGTATTTTAATATATATCATTTACAATATTATGTATTTAATATTTTATTTTTACATAATTTTTAAAATCTAGAATAACATCTCCACTATTGTTAATTGCCGTGGCAGGATCAGTTGGAATTTGTTATAAAATTTCACAAAAACACACAACAATTTTTAATAATAAACTAACTCTTCCTCAAGTTTATACATTGGTCGGCGTATGTTGTCTTCCTTTGTTTTATTTAGTCGGAGCTGGAGCAGCAATCTTTTGGGTTCTCGGTAATTTAATTAATATATTTAGTTATTCAATTAATTTAAATATTTTAATTAATTATGTTTTTAAAGAAAGATTTTAATTTTCTTTTCTTTTTTTTGCAGGTGTTTCCTGTTTTTTGATAACAATTCATGCCAGTTTTTACAATATCGATTCAATTCTTTGTCCTGGCGAAGATGAACTTAATTTACTGCAAGAAGTATAAAATTTATAACTCACAGACAAGTTAATATTAACAAGTGTCTTATGTCCTACATTATATAAAAAAAAAAAGAAAATGAAAACTAAGTCTCTCAATTTCAAAAAAAACTGAAGATTTATGAATTTTATTAACAATTGTTATGTAATATAATATATTTATATACATTATTATAATATAATATAATTTTGAGAAAAGATTATTAATAAATTTAATATTAAGAATTTATTGTAAAAACTTATCATTTTTATAAATTGAATAAAAATTTTAATATTTCTTGAAATGAATAACTTTTTACTTAAATTTTCTAATTTTAATTTAAAGATTAAAATTTTCTTTTAGCAATACGTAATTTTTTAAATAAAATGGAATCATGAATATTTTTGAAATTCTTTTTTCATTAAATTTTCTTTTAGTTTTTATTTTCAGATAAAATGAATTTATTATATAATTTTCAACAATTTTGTAAGTTATTTTTAAATTAGAATTAAATATTTAAAATTGTTTTTTATTAATTTTAAACTGAATTAAATTTGAATTTTTCTTTTTTCTAGTGTTTCACGAGAAATGAAATTAAGCTCCCTATAAAGCTCCGCTCCTATACAGCTAAATGTCGATTGATTATATACAATAAAGGAATGCGCTGTCATTTTCATAGAAAACAAGAAAAATGAAAAAATTTTTAAATGAAATTTATTTGTTTCAACGATCTAAATTTGTAATGGCAACAGTATACGACGATTTATTTTTGGATAAAACACTAGTTCTGCTATTTTCATCTGAGGGTATACGAGAAACGGAAATAAATTCTGTTTTATTTATTTTTCAACATTCTGAGGTGAGTTTAATTTTTTTTTTTTTTGTAATGATATTTAGTTTTTAAAATTAATTATTGTCTTTTAAAAATGGAAAAATTGCTATTTTTTTTCTATGATTGGGAATGAATCTTTGAAAATTAGTGGAATTATTATTTTTTTAGTGGTTCACTTTTTTTTGCAGAAAGTCAGGAACGTAACTATTTACACTTAAAAAAATGTATTTAACAATTTTTTATAAAAATGATTTAACAAATTGATAAATTCTAAAATAATTACAATTTTTGAAAATTTCGGCACTAATTTATAATATTTTTAAAAATTCCTTTTTTTGCAAAAAATTAATGTAGAAACGGATATCCGTTGATAAAATATTTAAATAAATTTATATTTTGCACTAAATTTTGAATAATAAAGATAAATTTATCAACTTCCTATTTAGATTTTACTAGGCGATTTAAGGAAAAAAATAATTACATTTGCTTATTATTAGTCATTTGAGAATTATAATTTTAAAATTTGTTTGTGTTGACAAATTTTAATTAAAGTGAGTGTTTTTGTATATTTCATCGTAGGATAAGGACGAAAGACTGTTTATAAATAAAAAATGGAAGAAGATGAAGAGAGAAATTTTGAGCGCGAGCGCAGAAGTACAAGTTCGCAATCGAATTCGTTTAATTCCGCGAGATCATCATCTCAACATACGTTATTCAACAGTTGTTTGGAATTTGAAGAAATAAATAAAGAAATGGAAACCACAATAATTGAAAATCAATTGAATAATCAGGCTCATGGATCATTATCGAAATATTGTGAAATAAAACACGAGGATTTAGAAGATTGTGACCTAAATGGTCAAGGTTCGGAACTGGTAATAATTTAGAAATTATTTCTAAACGAATTAAAATTTAAAAATTAATTAGAATAATTAATCAGCTAATAAATGAATTAATTTACAATTTACAGGAGGATTTTAATTTATATTTTCGTGATAGAATTCGTAAAATTGATTTTATCCTCGTTTACGATGAATACGATCAGGATGCATTGACTTATAAAAATCAAAAATTCCGCAGGGTAATTGAATAATTTACTTAAAAATTTATTTGAAAATAAATATTGAATAATTGAGAATTCTAATTTTTAATAGAAATTCGAAGAAAATTTATCAGCTGAGGGTCTTGAATTTGAATATGAGTTACCTGAGAAAAATGGTTTGTGTTTTATAAAAATTCATGCACCACGTGATGTATTGAGAAGATATGCGGAAATTTTAAAACTTCGCCTACCAATGAAAGAAATATCACGTTTAAAAACATTACCAATACGTGGTGCTGGTAATATGATAATCGATGAAGTAAATTCAATTTTTCATCGTTTAATGAAAAAATATTATGTGAATACAATTATTTTTCCAACAATGAAACATTGTTTCACAGCTGTTTATAGTCGTGATAAAGAATATTTATTTGACATTGATTCACCGGAATTTTTCACCTCATCGACAAGATCAAGAATTGTTCAATTTATTCTTGATAGAACTAAATTTGATGAATTTGCTTTTGGAATTGAGAGACTTATTTCGGAAAAGGCGTACGACTCTGCATATCCATTACACGATGTGAGTAGATAAAAAAAATTAATTTTTAGTTTATTTTTCAAAAAAATTTTATTTTCAGGGCAATTTAAAGAATGAAAATTCAATGCGCTATCTTTTGTACACTGAATGGGCGAATGTGAAAAAATGTCTTCACTATCAGCCATTGGATTATGTGAAAGAATATTTTGGCGTGAAAATTGGTTTATATTTCGCTTGGCTTGGATTTTATACTTATATGTTAATACCAGCGAGTATCGTTGGTCTTCTTTGTTTTTTATACGGTTGTTTAACAATCTATTCAAATGAACCAAGTGAGGATATTTGTAGTCGTAATTTATCAATAAAAATGTGTCCACTTTGTGATCATTATTGCCGCTATTGGGATTTAAGCGAAACATGTTTTCATGCACGAGTCACTTATTTATTTGACAATCCTGCAACTGTATTTTTTGCCGTTTTCATGTCATTGTGGGGTATGTAGAAAAATTCCAAAAAAAAATTGAATAGACTGTAAATAAAATACAATTTTTACAGCTACACTTTTTTTGGAGCTATGGAAAAAATATTCAGCTGAAATTACTCATCGATGGGATTTGACGAGTATAGACGTTCATGAGGAACATCCACGACCACAATATTTGGCACGTCTCGCTCATGTGAAGAAAAAAAAAGTGAATTTAATCACCGATTCAATTGAGCCAAAAGTTCCTTTTTGGAAAGTTAAATTGCCAGCTACAATTTTTAGTTTTTCGGTAATTTTATTGTTGGTATGTTAAATTTTATATTCTTCATTTTTGTATTGGAAAATTTAATGATTTTTGATAATATTTACATTTATTTTAGATAGCAGTGGCAATGGCTGCTGTTTTAGGTGTGGTTTTATATAGAATATCAGTTCTATCAGCCCTTAGTGTTTATGGTCATCCATCAGTAACAAGTTACGCAATTCTTTTTACAACAACAACTGCCGCTTGTATTAATTTATGCTGTATAATTGTCTTCAATTGGATTTATGTTTGGTTGGCGGAATATTTAACTGAGGTGAGGGAATTTTTTACTATAAATAAATAAAAATTCTATAAACTAAAATATATTTTTTTTCAGGTAGAACTACCACGAACGCAAACAGAATTTGACGATAGTTTAACGTTAAAAATTTATCTTCTTGAATTTGTCAATTATTATGCATCAATTTTTTATATAGCATTCTTTAAGGGAAAATTTGTTGGATATCCGGGGAATTATAATCTTTTTTTTAAAAATCGTCAAGAGGAATGTGGACCCGGTGGTTGTTTAATGGAACTTTGTATTCAATTGAGTATAATAATGATTGGAAAACAAGCAATGAATACAATATTAGAAATGCTTTTTCCGTTATTTTATAAATGGTTGAATACAATTAGAGTACAAATGAGCTATAAAGAGGAAAGAAAAAGTAGAAAAAATTCGATAAGAACATTTCTTCCATGGGTGAGAGATTATAAACTCGTTACATGGGGACAAAGAAGTTTATTTCCTGAATATTTAGAAATGAGTAAGTTTTTTAAAATATTTTTTATTTTAATTTTTTAATTTATATAAATTAATTTTTTCAGTCTTGCAATATGGATTTGTAACTATTTTTGTTGCCGCTTTTCCTCTGGCACCATTTTTCGCATTAATTAATAATATTTTAGAAATGCGATTAGATGCACGAAAACTTTTGACATTATATCGACGACCCGTGGGACAACGAGTTCGAAACATTGGAATTTGGTACAAAATTTTAGATTCTGTCTCAAAACTTTCGGCTGTTACAAATGTGAGAATGTTTTTAATTTAGAGAAACTTTTTTTCAAATTAGCTAATTTTTGTTTAAATTTTTTGATTATACTAATTTAATTATTTATTTAATGCTAAATTTTTATTTTTAAATGCAGGCTTTTATTCTTGCCTTCACATCAAATTTTATACCACGTTTGGTTTATCGATTAACAATCTCTGAAGATTATTCATTGAAAGGATTTTTACAGCATTCACTGTCAAATTTCAATACCAGCGAATTTAAAGAAGAATCGCGACCAATTATTGAAATTAATAATAAACATACAAATAGTTGTTATTATCCAGATTATCGTCAACCACCGGGTTCAATTAATAAATATGAATATACAAATTTATTTTGGCATATTTTAGCAGCAAGACTTGCATTTGTGGTTGTATTTGAGGTAATTTTTAACAAAAAAAAAAAAATTTTTTTAAACAATTTAAAAATATTTAAATTTAATTATCAATTTACAGAATGTAGTCGCACTAGTCATGATTCTAGTCAGATGGATTATTCCCGATATGAGTAATCAACTTCGCACGCGAATTCGTCGGGAAATTTATATAACAAATGAAATTATAATTCAACACGAGGCTCAAAGAGCTTGTGGACGATTAAATATATCAAAAGATCAATGGAATCGTGTTATTCGAGAATCAATGTCAGATCTCGATTTGGAAGTTCAATTAAAATCGAATATTTAAATTCTCTTCTTTTTGGATATAGTTTCCTTAATATTCTCATTGAGAAATAAAATTTTTACAAGTAAGTATTTTTTTTTTACATTCTCTTTAAGAAATTCAAGACTCATTTTTTTTTAATAATTAGCTTTAATTAGCCATTTCATTTGTTTTTACAATATTGTACAAAATTTCACCGCTAAAGTTCCATGTGTGAAAGTATAACAATTTTTCTAATTTAAATTCTTAAATTAGATATATAGGTAAAATAAATATCGTTTCTTTCATTCAGGTCACTGCGGTTATTTTTCTTAAACTTAATATTCACAAAATGTTTGTTTTTTTTTTAATTATATATATATATCGATTATTGAATTAAATATCCGATTCATGCGTTTTTACTATTTACACATAATATTAACTTAAAGACTGAAAATTCGAATTTCAGGCAAAAAGTAATTTTTTTCGCGTTTATCAACTATTTCTATATTTTTTTTTTAGAAATAAATTTCAGTCGAATAAAATTATTCAAATTTTTCTTTAAATAGAAAATTTTTGAAGAATTTCAAAAAGTTTTTTTTTTCCTATTTTTATACTCAATGTGTGTATAATAATTTATTCACAAATATTTTTATCAAAAAAATATTTAACATGAAATGAACAGAAACACCAATTTTTTTCAATTTTAATAATCCTCCGTTTTGTAACTCAATTATTTTGTTCCAGAATGTATCAATTTATTTTTACAAGGAAAAAATTGCAATGGATCCAAAAGAACAAAAAAAAAAAAAAAATACATAATTTGACAATGAAAATCTTAAAGAAAATTAAGATAAACGGAGAAGAATTGACTTGAGTAAACAAACAATATAAAGAAAAGAACTAGCACAAAACGAATTTTAAGATAAATATAAAAACAAAATAAATGTGCAACTTATTTGCAAAAAATAATGCAATTAAAAAAATTGCAATTTACAAAAAGTAATAGTAAAAGTGTGGAAAATTATATTTCTAAAATTATTACAGAAAAAATTAACAATTTTACTAAAAATGAAATTTAAACAATGACAGTAAAAATTGATTAATTTGTGATCTTTCTCTTTAGAACTCAAGACTGACTAATTTTGTTTTAAAATATCTATTTTTATAAGCACATTGCTTGAAAATGTTTCTACGAAACGAAAATTAAAGATTAGACTTGTCTTTTTTTCCATAAATCCTATATCTTACAGAATTCAATAAAAATTAGCTTTAATAGTTTTTTTCTACAACATTGTAAAAAAAAAAAATTCCACCACTGATGTTTCGTATGAAAATGTAACAATTTAATTTAAATTCTTAAATTAGATAAAATAAATATCGTTTCTTTCATTCAGGTCACTGCGATTATTTTCTTAATTATAATAATATTCACAAAACAAAAAAAAAAAAAAATGTTTTTCTCACTGTATTATTATATCGATTATTGAATTAATCGTTCATGCGTTTTTTTTTTGAACTTAAAGACTGATGATTCGAATTTCAGGCCAAAAGTTGTTATTTTTCTGCGGTTGCCTATTAATAATTGTCATTTTATCGAAGTTGTAATATTATCCAAGTGATAATAGAATATTTATATTATATAATTTCATTAAAATAAAATATTTTCGAAATTATCTTCATTCATTCATATTTTACCTATTTTGGTTCATTTTCCTCATTTTGATTATTATTTAATTGTTTTTAAAATTTTTCTCCTAATGGTGTTTTAGTAAAAGACCAAATTTTCATTAAAAAAATTTGTGAGGTAGAAGAAAATTGGTCATTTAGGCAAATTTTTTTTTTTTTTTTTTACAAAATTTCAATAGTATTAAAACTGTTGAAAATGCTATATGTAAAATTTCGAAAACGCTTTTTTCTCTCTCTAAATTAACAGCCGAACGATTGCGAACTTAAAAAAAAGTTCAACAATATCGTTTTATAATAAATAAATTAGAAAAAGCATCTCTATCACAATTCGCAGAAATTTCTACGTCATTTAATAAATAAGACGCAATTTCAAAAAAGAAAAAAAAAATCATAAAAGAGAGTTTTTTCCATAAGCGTAAATTCACAGTCTCGGCTTTAGTTATTAGGCACCGCTTAATTCATAATTTAAACATTCTTTTTTTGTACATTAACAAAAAAAAAAAGTAAAACGCAAATAAACCGTTAATTACAAATGCACCGTATAAAAAATATTGAGATTAAAAACTTATCGATTTGAAAAAATATTTACATTTCTCAAAAAAAAATTCGTGTACAATATTATACAACATTTATCTACATTTTTTTTATATATGGAAAATTAAATCCATTAAAAATTTATTACAAAAAATAAACTTTGTATATATGTAAATTTTTGCGCAATTAGTCGATTTTTGTGCAAATTTACACTGTCACGAATTATCGTTTGGAAACGAAAAAAAAAAATGAAAAAGAAAGGAAGACTATATTTCAACTTCTTTTTCTTTTGCTCTGTGTTTCATTATGAACACAAAAAAAAAAATTGATATTTTTTTTCATTACCTCTCGAACATTTTCGAATAAAATGTTCACATCAAAATTGTTTATCCTCTTCGAAACAAATTTTTTTTTGGAAACACAACTTGTTTCATTCTCATGAAGCGTAAAACATCACAGCATTGAAATAACGGACGGATTACAGCATCACGTTTCTAGTTACGCTGAACTCAACAGTTCACTGAGAATTAAAAAACAGGAAATTTTAATTAATAAAAGAAAAATTTAATTAAACAATTACAAAACTAAAACTTTATTTTTTAAATAAAAAAAAAAATACTGGACAAAAATTACTTACGTTGATAATTCTCTTCCTAATAAGCCTGTTCCGACCAATCCTGTGCGTGATCGACTTCTATTAAGTTGCGCCCTTCTCTCAGCTGTGAAATTAAAATTAATTAACAAACAATTTACAAATTAATTATAAAATATTTTCAATTTTTTAATTGTTATTTTAAATATTAAAAAAAGTAATTTTTAATTGATATTAAAGAAATATCAATATGTAGATAGAAAAACTGAAATTAATTGATTTGTCTTTGATGACAAAATATACAAAGCAATTAGAAGGAATAATTTGTACATAAACGAAATATGTCCGATTAGATGAATCATTACACAAATAGAAATATTTGCGGACAATTTACAAACTAAAACGATATTCGTTTAATTAATCGTGTACACAATTCTTAGAAGCACTGAATACTCTTAATTAAATGACACACACACAAAAAAAATTGCAAAAAAGTACAATAATTACTATTAATTAGACTCGCCATTAATTAATTTATTAATTAAAATAATAAATTGAATTAATATTAAAAGAGAGAAAATTAAAAAAATAAACAATTATTTTTTTTTAATAATAACCATAACAGTTCACAGTAAGTAATAAAAAATAAAAATAATTTATAAGTACAAACAATCTAAAAATACAACAACAAAATTTAATTAAAAAAATTGATTCCCGTTTGAAAAGTCAATGTTAAGTAAAAAAAAAAAAAACCAAAAAAATTCTGAAAATGAATTTAATAAATAAATTATTCATATATATGTTTGACAAGAGTTTGTACAAGATATTTTCTATTACATTTCGCAAAAATAACAAAGCGTTTTATAGTGTCGAATCACAAACGAAAGTAAAAAAAAAAAAAAAAAGTAAAAGAAATTGTCTCACATAATTAAATCAATCTTTTTCAAAAAATTTTTGTCTTAAAAGACAAATCAAAAATTTTAATAATTTATCATTAATCTACAAAATTATGTCACAGCTTCTCAATTATCACATAATTTCATCGAGAAAAAAAAACCGTGTTAATAAATATTATTTTTTAAATATTGCCTATCAAAAATATTTTCCATAAATAATAATCTCTACAAAAAAATTGTATTTTCAAAAAAAAAAACATAAAAAATTATTTAAAATATCAAGTCTCAGAAGTAAAATAAAAAAAAAATAATTTACAATTGTTCCGGAAAATTACAATTAAAAACAAACAAAAAATTAATACAGCGAAACCATAGTCTTAAAAAAAAAAAAATGAGAAAAAAAACCAAATTTAAAATATTTCCTATCTATGATTATTTGATGTGTTACTTTGTAAATTCCGATTCAGTGTTTTGTTTAATATTATATTTTCTTCTCACACTCTTTGCCGAATCTCCCAATTTTCTCCATAAATTCCAAGTTTTCTTTTTTTCCTCACTACTTTGTGAAGTAATCGAACCCCTATAATGTTTAGAAATTGGGGAAAATTTTTCCGTAAATTTCGAATTACTCGACACAGCAAGAGAATTTTCTCTTGATTCATAATCATTTTTTGAATGGAAAAACAATTCAGTTGTAAAAAAATTCTCATTCTCATCAAGATTGACAACATTTAAATCATGTTGAATATTATCAGTGAATTTAAATGATTTCTTATGTTTTCTAGAATTTTTTCTTCGATTCACAATAGCGCGTCGAATAAAACTATTTTTCTTCTTTCTCTTACCGACAATTAAATTTTTCCTCACATTATCCCCCATGTGAAATTCATTTGATTGTAAATTTTCTTCATTAAAACAATTTGGCATAGAAATTTTCAGTTCTTTTATTACCGAATCATAAGATGCTTTTTGAATAAAATTTCTCGGTACAGTTGTCAAATAATTCTTTGGCGATGGTGTTTGAAGATCATGAATATTATTATTATTATTTTCACAAGCAGAAAATGTTCTCCTCGGCGTTTCTTCAAATCCAGAAGTTATAAAACAATCACTTGCATCGGATATGTCAGATTTATTTTTAAAAATTCTACTCACTTTATAAATAACATCATTTTTTCTTGGCGCTTTTTCAGCGTGACTTAATAAAATATTTTTTATACGATTTTGATTATTATCCTCAGGTGTGAAAAATTTTTCTTTTCTTATAAAATCAACAATTTCAACTCGTGATTTATTTTCAAATTTATTTTTTCTCGGTGTTTTCATTGCCTCTTTTAACATGAGATCTTTGATAAATATTTGATTTTCCTCGGGTGTTGAATAATTATTATTATTATTATTATTTTCTATATTTGTATTATTCTTTGATTCAATACGCGTGAAATTTCGATGAACACTAGATTTTCGTCTGACAATTGTCACACTAGTGGAATGAATATTCCTAACGAGTTTAAACTTACCACCAGCAACGCGTGTTTGACGTTTGCGACGTTGATCAGGTCGACTAAATGCCGATCCCGTTTGTAGAGCTTCCATTAAACTGTCCATAACGCCTTCCTGTGTTTCATGCGCATTCATATCGACTAAAGCGCGTTTTCTTTCGGCACGTGCGGCTTTTTCAACTTCCGCTTTTTCGCGCGCCTCTTTTGCTCTTCTTTGCTTCTCCTCCGATTCGCGCATTTTCACTATCTCCTTTTGCGCTTGCTGAAAATTAATTTTAACAATTAAAAATAAAATTTACAAAATTTATTAATTCGAAAAAGTAATACATACCGTGAAATCGTCTTTAAACTTTTTAATATCACCGAAGAATTCTTCGATAGTGCATTTTTGCTTATCAAAAGCGAAGAATTCCGAAATTCCCGTATAGAGATTGTCCATATTTTTAAACATATTTTGCATCACTTCATATGACTCTCTTGCTTTTTTCGAGAATGGCTATTAGTGAAAATAAAGTTAAGGAAATATATTAGGTAAGAAAATAATTTTTTTTGTTTTAAATGATAAATAAAAGGATACAGTCATAACATCAGCAAAACGATCCTGATCGCTTTGTGGAATTCTTGCATTGACAACATCTTGTTCGAGATTTTTAATATTATTCTCCATTTGCCGTAGTGTTCGTTGAATATTTTCTAGAGATACCCGACTCGCTCGATCAACGTGAGTCAATTCTTCCAAAAAATTTAAACAATCGGGAAACTTTCGCTCTATTGTATCCACCAAATAGTGCATTAAAGTTTGCCTATTGTCAATATCTTTTGTTGACGTTAACTGAAATTATTTTCAATTTAAATAATACATTCTTTTAAACCTTGATTTCAAATTTAATTATTTTGTATTAATTTTGATTGTAAAAAAATATTTTAAAAAATAGTAATCACCTTAGTGAGAAAACTGATTTCGAAACCAAATGCTTGACCGTTCTTTGATCCAGAATTCATGTAATTTCCAAGAAGAAGAATCAATTCGAGAATTTTCGCGAATTTTTTACTTCCTTTCACTTCCTCGCAGGCTGCTGTTCCCGCTACAATATCTGGCTTTACATCCTGGACCAATTCTTCGTATCGTAGCATAAAACTTAACGATCTCAGTCTTGGAAGTAATCGCTTAATCGTCGATACCTTAGGGAAAAAAAGAAAATTTATATTAAGTAAAAAAAAAAACAAATCTAAAAAAATAGAATTTAAATTATTTACCGTCACGCAGAATTGCTCGGCCTCCGTTAAATCATCATAATTATCTTTGAAATTTTGTAATTTTGCTAATTGATCGGGCGGTGGTAAATATTGAATTAAACCCTGTAGAATATTATCGGAAATAACTGGCCCTTCACATTTTAATAAACATGTTTTGACATCCTCATACGACATATGTTTTAACGAGCCACTGAGGAGAATTAAAATATTTTGCGCTGCTTTACTATCCAATACTTTTAGATCCTTAATCTTCTTCGCTGGTGTAGATCTAAAATTTATTAATAAATAATATTAAAAAATAATTTTTATTAATAAAAATTCTACAATTTATATATATATATATCTATAAATTCGAAAAAATAACATACTTATCAACAACGTCGTCAATTTTCTTTCCACTTGGCTTTGAAGAGAATCTTTGTGCAAGACCACTTAATATTTCTGGACTCGCGAGTTTGTCTTCTTGAACTTTTACCCAAAATGACTTTTCCGATATTTTGTGCGGCAAAATCTACGATAAAAAAAAATAACGAGATGTTTTTGTTTATAATAAATTATTGAATATACTAATAAATTAAATTATAAAATTTAATTTGTAAAAAAAGAAATATTTACCGCCTTCCAGTTGGCTCTTTTAAGTGGTCCATCGACTTCCCACTTCTTCTTGGGCTTCATTCCATGTGGTAAAACTTGAACAGCATTTGCCATTGGCGGCCTGAAACCTCCCATCATCGGAGGTGGTGGAGGTCCCATTCCGGGCATTGGAGGCGGCGCCGGTCCTCCCATTCCTTAAAATAATTTAATTATAATGAAATTAAATTAAAATATTACTTTTTTTAAATTTTTCTACAAATATAAAAATAATTAAATACCTGGCATTGGGGGTGGTGGAGGTCCTCCCATACCTGGCATCGGAGGTGGCGGTGGCGCACCTCCCATTCCTGGCATCGGAGGTGGAGGAGGTCTTCCCATTCCTGGCATTGGAGGCGGTGGAGGCGCACCTCCCATTCCTGGCATTGGTGGCGGAGGTGGACAACTTCCAATTTTCTAAAAAAATAAAAACAAAATTCCCAATTAATTAAAAATAAAATTTTTCATTTCAATGACAAAAAATTAAAATTAACTTACACCAGGTGAACCACCAATTGGCCTTCCTGTTTCAAGTTCTTTAATTTTATTTTCCGCGTGTTGCAATTTTGCCTCAGCCTCCTGTTTCCTTGCAATTGCTTCCTCCAATTTCTGTGACATTTCCACTAATCTATGTTCCTCTTCGGCTTTTGATTTCTCCACCAGTGTTTCGATTAGTGGTTGAACATCAATTTGAAATCGTTTTGTTGCACTAAAATCGGGATCGCAACCCGATCGATGCAATACAATTTGTGATACACATTCTTCTATGAGTTTATAATACGCCGGTCTAAAATAAAAAATTATTCTCATTAATTTTAATTCAAAAATAATTTTTTTTTTTTTATATAAATGACACTCACCTTACTAGAGAATCGTCTCGTATAAATAGTAAATGTTGTAAAATTGATAAAAAATATGGTTCAGCAACTGTATCCATAACCATATTTTTAACGACTTCAAAACAATCGTTAACATCGTCCAATTCAAGTCGTACGTGATCGAATCTTTGGACAAATTCCTCATAATCCTCTTCTTTATAATCGTTAAAGATTTTCAAATGAGTCGCTAAATCCTCCGATTCATCGCCTTCTAATGTATCTAAAATATCAGCCAATCCAACGCGCATTATTTCGTTTCGCAAATGCAATCTAAAATCCAAATCATCGGCAGATGAAATTATTGAATTTATCAATTGTAAACACACGACCTGTAAATTATAAACATTTTAACGTAATGAAAATTTGCAAATACGAATTTTTTTGAAGAATTTTATACTCACCCTAAGATTTTCGTTTTTCTTATTCATTAGTCCTTGAACAATTGGTTGAAATCGTTCTCGACCTTTAAATTCTCCATTCATTGTGATAGCGTCTAATACTTTTTTATGGCTGTCACTTGAAATGAGACAAACTGCGCCAAGAAGTTTAACAACTTCATACATTACAGCTGGTTTACTTGGTTCCAATGATCTTGCGACTATCGTTAAAGCTTCATGATGCGCCAACATTTCTTTTATTCCAACAGTATTATTCATAATTGCTTTTAAACAGCGAATGCATTCGTACTGTATTCGTTCGTATCGATTGTCACTGTAAAAGAAAATATGTTCTTTTATTAATAAATAGTAAACAAAATTATTTTTCATTTTCTATTTTGTAAATCAATTTTTTTAAAGAAAATTTTCACAATGCACAATCAAATTATTATAATTTTAGTTTTAAAAAATTTTGATTTTAGAAATACAATGCATGTAAAATAATAAATAAATTAGTAAACATGCGATGCAAAATAAAAATTGTAAGCTATTTTTATCCATAAAATATATTTTTTTTAAAATTACCTATCATATGAAATGAACGCGCTGCAATCAAATGACAAAAAAAGATATTTTTAATTAGTGTCAATGTATGTTATCATACATTGAATTAATTTTCCGTGAAAAAAAATTTTTGTTTTAATAAAACTTACTTCCTGTAACATTCATTGAGAGTCGCAAGGACCTGTTTCAATCCTTTTGTTCCAAATTCTTGCACCCAACTCAATGTATTATTTGTGAGAGCAATTCTAAGTGATTCGACACAATTATAAATTTTATTTACACTTAAATCTGGTTGAGCCAAATACTGTATATAATCGGCTGGTTTATCGAATTTTGATTTATTCTCCTGAATACTGCCTTTATAGTGTAAAATTAACATCTCCTTTTTCTTTCCTGCCGATTGTTGACGAAGTGGTTCCTTCTTTTCTTCATTTAAATTCATATTCGCCTAGAAAAAAAAAGAAATCAAATTAAATTTACTGAATTTAAATTTATGAAAAATATTAATTTACCCCTTTTTTTTTGAGAAAAATTTTTTATTTTTCAAAAATACTTTTTGATTCTTTTGAGATAGAAAAAAAAAATTATGCCGTCAAAAGGATTAAATTAAAAAATTTGATAAAAATTTATTAATTTCTTTAAATTATTTAATTTTCTATTTAAAACCTACCAACATTTCCTCAAATCGATCATTAACAGTTTCCTCATCCATTCTCTCGATCATGCAACGTTGTTGTTCGATTTCGTTGAAATCTTCGCCAGAATTTGGACGGGGGATGGTGTTGTGACCGAGACCACCACCCCCTCGACCAGATTTTTTCGGTCGACCGAACCATGTGTCCAGCTGAAACAAAAAAAAAGAATTTCATCTTTAAAAAAAATATTCTCAAAAAAATATTTTTCAAAAAATAATAAAATATTTTTAAATAAGTATTACAATAAAAAATTTTTAAATATAAAAAATAAATATAATTTTTTTTTGTTTTTTGATAAATAAAAAAAGGGTTTGCAAAATTACCTTAAAAATATCAAAAATGAATTCAAACGTTATGCAACGCATTTTTTTTTTTTTTTATACAATAAATTTCAAGTGTATATTGTCACTCGAATTGATTATTGTGTACTGAAGTTTAAAAAATAGGTGTGAATAATTATTTTTTTACTAACTCTCACTTGCCAAAGAGTTAGAGGAGGAAACATTTGATGGCTCATAATATTAATGAAATTCACTTATCATTTATGCTTGAGACATTCCCCATAAGCTAGTCTTATTGGGCAAGTTTTAGCGATAATTATTATTTTCACTCCTCTCATGGCACTTGGAATTCTACAATACATAATTGAAATATATATTTCAAAATCAAAAATTTATTTCAACATTAGATAACAATAATAATAATTGAATAAAGAGATAGATAAAAAAAAATTACAAATTATATTTATGTAATAAAAATATAAAAAATAAAAAAATTCTTGAATCAAATGACAAAAAATAAAATTTATATAATGTTAATTTTTGCAAATCGCATAAATGGACAAAATGACCTCGTCTCTCTCTCTCTCTCTCTCTCAACATTTGAAGAGGAAAATTGGTAACGCTAATCAATTATAATCATCGCATTTGTAAAATCTAGATGGATACATCACTTGTTCAATTAAATTCAGTTTCCTAATTACATTCTGCAAAGGTCAAATTTATCAAAATCTCCAAGAGATTTATTCTGATAATAAAAAGGTTAAAATTTGAGAAAGGTCATAACTTCAAAAATATTATAATTTCTTTTTTTTTCACGAGAAAAAGTGAATTATTTTTTGCGATAAATTAAATATTATTCATTATTATTTTTATATAAAAAAAATTAACTTTAAAAAAAAAAATTAAATTAAAAATTTAAATTAATAAAAAATTAAAAAATTAATTGCAATTTCTAATAATAATAAAAATAATATCAATAAAAAAAATTAGAATAAAGAATAAAATAATTATGAAAGGTTTTAAAATTCGAAGTAAAAATTTTTATTTTTTATTTATTGAAAAAGGAATTTAAAAATATACGTTAATTTGAGCTAATCAACAGGTAAATGAATGTAATTAATTAAGAAATCAAGAAAAAAAAAAATAAAAGCTCACCCATTCTGTAAGCATGACGTGACTTGATTAGTTTTCAATGATACACTCTTATTTTTTTTTTTTTTTTGAACTATATTTCACAATATTTAATTGTTCCCACGACACGACATTTCCTTTGTAATGTTTCCTGGCTCAATTTAAAATTCATCGTGTTAAAACTGACTTTCAGCATAGGCCTTTAACACTAATATATTTCACCGGGGTTTGCTTTCACTGATTATACCTTATTTCCGCACATGTTCACTATTTTTCAATTTCCATGATACTATTTACGTTTTTTTTTAGGGAATTTTTTTTTTAATTTCAATTAATTTTACACAGTGAATAATCAATAAATGTTAACAGTATTTAAAAGCGAAGTGTTTCTGATATGTTATATATAGTGAACGGTTCATGGTAAAATGCGAATCGACTCGTATTTTTGACCCACTGCCCCAATATTTCAGTGAAGGGGTTATTCACTCCAAATTCCACTAATTCAATTTTTTTAATTCTATTTTTAATTACTATTTAAAAATTAATTTTTATTTACTATTTTTTTAATTTAATTTTTTTTTATCCTCTTTTTAAATAATTTTTTTTTTTACTTTTACTCATTTTTCATAAGGCAAAATTTTATTTTTCCATTTTCAATGATAAACTTTGAACTTTATATGATTATATAATGTATAGTGAAATATGAAAATTTGCCACGGTTAAAAAAATCGTTTTACGTGCGAAAAAAAAAATTACTAAAAAGTCGAAATAAATAATTCTTATTTAATTTAGTAATTTTTTTTTTAATTTTCTTTGTAGAATTATAAAAAATTTTTCACCTAAATTGTATCACGTAATAAAAATAATTGAAGATAGAAAAAAAATTGATAATTGTCCTGGATTAATGAACACATGACGCCGTATTATTTATAGCAATGATTCGAGATGACGTGAGCAATGGATTCTTCTCTATATATTGCGTAAATGAGTGCAGGGACACATTCGACATTTTTTTTTTTTTACTACTTTTCAGAGTAACTGTGAAATATTGCACTTTAAATTATTCTACGCGTTTGAATTTAAAAAAAAAAATTTTTTTGTGCTCTATTTTATACAGAAATAAAAAAGTAAATTTACAAAAAATTAACAAAAATAACAAAACGATCAAAAAAACAAAAAAAATTTTTTTTCCCCCATTTTTAAACGAAGAACGCTAACATCTAATTTTCAGATACTTTCGCTATAATATGTTTTTAAGATAAAACCTGTTCGAGGAATTCTGAGTGTAGAAAAAAAAGAACTAGAAAACCACTCACCTAAACATATTTTACAGAATCATTTATTTTCTCTCTTTAAAATCATTTTACCAGAATGTCATGTGAAAAATTAAAAAGCTAAAGTTCAATGTACATTATCTGCAATTATTAAAAAAATTTAATTATAAATTAAATTGGTAATTATTTAATAATTTAATATTTGATTATTTAATAAATATTTTTCTATAAAAAAAAGGTGTGACGATTATAATAAAAAAAAATAATTTTAATATAAATCTCTACATAACTAAATTTCCTCTGAAATAAAAATCCTAAAATCCTGTACGTCTAAACTACAGAAGTGACCCTGATGGAAAAACAAGTAAAAAAAAAAATTCCAAGAATATCTCATTAACATGTTTCAAAGGCTATCGAAGGAAAAATTTTCCACTTTGAATTCTTAATATAAAATTCAATTTTGTAATATATTAAAATTTAATGATAATTTTCCAAAAAATAGAAAACTAAAATAAAATCCTCGAAAAAAAATTAAAAATCAAATCAAGTTTCGAAATTAAATTTCAGTTTAATTTACAAATTTAAATGTTGCAAAAATTCCAAAATTAACGAATTTGGTATTTAATTTACGAAAATAGGAGAATATTTTCACTATACATCATTGAATGTGAGTCCTTGAGAAAAATAATTTACGATTCTTTTTGCCAAATATTGAATTTTTTTTCAAAGATTTTAAACTCTGTATAGATAACATTAAACAGGAAAAGTCCTTGTAAATTGAAAATAAAAATCTTTTCAAATGTCCTTGTTTACCAATTTAATTTTTATATATTATATCCTTTCAGTCTATTTTTAATTACCGCACGAAAACAAAAATGAAAAAATTATTTCTGACAATGTGATCATCGCAATGTAATCATCATTTTTCAGATAGAAATAATCCTTCACAAACACAATATTTCACAAAACGATAAATGGAAATCTAAATTTCTAAAGCACAAATTTAAATTCCATTTTGTAAGAAATGTAAATTCCTCTACTATAAATCACACAATTCCAACTGGAAAATAATCTTATGAAGAAAATACCAATTTTTTTGGATATTAAATATTAATATTATTTTTTTAATATTAATACTATTTTTTAAAAATTAATATTTTTTTCAATATTAATTATTAAAAAATTAATACTTTTTTTAATATTAATACTATTTTTTAAAAATTAATATTTTTTTGAATATTAATATTATTTCTTTTAATATTATTCTCAATTGTTTCATTTTTTTTTCCAATTGTCATGTGTATTTTTTTTCTGATGCTTTTCTTAGATTTTGTCAAGAGTATCACGTGTACTTTTTTTTAGTAATTTAAAATACACTTGAAAAATCACTGGTAAGCTTTTAATTTTTTTTTCAGGCCAATGATTTTAAGTCCAACTGTCATTGAAAACTCGAAAGATATGATGGTCGTCGCACAACAGATTCAAAAAAAAAAAAAGAGACTAATCAGTCACGCTCCGAGTGACAAAACAATTAATTATGACTGGAAGGTTTTCTCATATGCACGCAAAATAATTTAAATTAAATGTTAAATTTTTTAAAATAATTTAAAGTCCACTTTTCAATTTTTTTTTTGGTAGAATTTAATGAAAAATATTTATTAATATATATTTAATTATTTCCATTTAAAAATTCTATTTAATTAATTAATAAATATAATTAATTCTATTTAATTAATTTTATAATTAAAAAATTCCATTTAATTAAAAAATAAAATTAATTAATTTATAATTAAAAAATTCCATTTAATTAATAAATAAAATTAATTAATTTATAATTAACAATAATAATTTATATTTGGTAAATAATTTAAATTGAAAAAATTATTTTTTCAGAAACACTTCGCTCACAAAAAAAAAAAAATTCACCTGATAAAATAAAATATTGTTTTTTAGCGCGTTTTGCTTTTAAAAAGGAATTCATGTCAAGATGACGAGGTCAGTTCCGTATCGAGAGGAGGTTCGTGAAAGACTGAAGACTGAATGCATATTCTGCATCTCACACACGGATGATACTAATTGCATTTTGCGTAGGTGGAGTATATTGAAAGCGCTGTTAGAACTTCCGATTTGATTCAAATACAAATTATAATATATACTACAATGCGGATATAACAATAGATAGGCGTTTCAAAATACTTTTTTTTTTTTAAATCTCTCTTTCTTATAAAAAAAAACTCCAAAAATAAAAATAAATAAAAAATATTAATTAATTCAATAAAATTGAAAATTTTTTTAATTCGCGTGGAGAATGAATTTTTTTTTCATTAAAAATTGATGTCTCTAGCGAGTTTAAATTGAAGGTAATAAAATGACTTTAAAGAAATAACAAAGGAATGTTAAATAATGTTGTGTGTGATCGAGTCTGACAAAAATCTCACGATTACTTTTTTTTATAACTCACAT